ACCCACACTAAGTGTAAGTGTCACTGGCAGACATGTCGTAGGCCTGTTTGGCTGCAGCCTGTAGTTTGTGAAGTGAAACAGTCCCCACATCAAACATGAGACGGATTTACTTTTACTGGTTAAAAGCATTTGCCATCTGCATTCAAACTTCTAAACCCACTTCTAAAAACGTTTTTAATTTCATCTTTGTCATAGCAGAAAAATGCCTGGAGGAGTATCTTGCAATTCCCTCGAACATGAAATGTCCCCAACACAATTTGCTCTAAAGATGACTTTACGAACAATAAGTGGTTTCTTTGTGTTTGACTTCAAACTTGTTGCCATCAAATCCAAATCATAGACACCCACTAACAATAAATGTATACATTAGTTTATGTAAAATGTGTCAAGAGGCAAAGGAATAGTATGGTCATAGAAATGTTCCATCAGCTCCAGCCATAGTACTTGCAGGCTGCAGTCAGTGGTACGTTGTAATACTTAAATGTGTCCAGTAGGGAGCAGTGTTGTCGTTTAGATAATCTCTCAGGCTGTATCCTGGAGCTGTCGGTGAGAGTCGTGGAGGAGATACTGAAGGTTTGTTTTCACTGTTGAAATGTCGATTGTATTGTCTTTGTAGTGGTTACAACTCTACTTTATGTTTGTTTACATAGACCTATGTGACTGAATTATCATATGACACTTTACTTTCGCTCGTCTTATTGAATTGGTCACATAAACTAAATATGACCATGTGCAAAAGGTGATGTTTGACTTTTATATTCCTATTCCCATTTGTCATTCTAATTTGAAAAAGTGTGCAATGCAGTCGTTTCATTGCAATTGGCTCCCATGTTTAATTTTATATTTATTTTATTTTATTGCTTTATTTAACATAAAACACGTAACACTGAGTGGTCTCTAAGCTGTTTACGCACCTGTTTACCTATTTTGAGTTTTCCTTTATGTGTGCTCAATGCGGCCACATGTTAATTTTACACATAAAGCAGAAAAGTCGGCAGAAAATGCCATTTTCAGTGCCACTTCTCAAACTAGTATGTCAGCTAACTGTCAGGCCATCTGTCAGGAACTCAATAAATTTGTCAGAGCGAAAAAAGCGAATCCAATAAATCATAACGTAAACAAATCTGGCCAGAGGTTGACAGTGCCGTATTGTACTTTGTCTTTACCCTTTGGGAGTTGGGATTATCCCGCAGTAGGCAATCATTTGTTGGCTGTCTCAGGAAGATAAGAAGGGCCGAGTGGTTAAGAGGAATAACATGTTACAGAGGCTGCGAATCAAGAGGTGTTGGCTAGACTGATTTATTTATTTTGGTAGATTTATTTATTCATTTTGTCAAAATATACCTGAAAATATTACATTAATAATATTTATAAACTTTAAAAAAAAAACTTGAACCAGCCTTGGCCTTTTGTCATAGCTCCACATAAATAGATGGATTGAAACCTACTGTATTCCCATCATAGGTTCCCATGTGCTCATGAGCGGTCAGTGGTTCTTCTGTCCTTCTGTCCTTCTGTCCAGGCGCGCTCTGAAGACTCCTCTGTAAAGACGCGCTCCAGTCTGTAAATGCACCTACAGAAGCACTCTTCCAAATAATAAAGCTTTGCTGAGCTGAGGTCTAAATAAAGGACTACCTGTGATTATTCAGGCTCTTAAAAGAAGCATCGTGGTGCGCGAGAAACACTCGTTAAAAAGATCAAAGTGCGTTAAATATCAAAGTCTTCGCTCCCTGCAATTTAGGAGCTATTATGTCTCCGGCCTATGAGCGCCCCTTTGAGGATGGCGGGTTTTAGTTAAGGTATTTTATTCTCTAATGACCGCCGCTAAACTTTGTTTTAGGCCTATAATTAACTGTGCTCGTATTTCAAATTAAGGAAATCTCCAGAGCTATTAACAGAATATCCACTGACAGAGACAAAGCCCTGCTACTGTCTGCGTGTCATTTCATAAATGATGACGGGATTACGCACGATCCTTATGTGTAATATTGGTGCATTGATCGTAGCCTTGGGGCTGACACAGGCGGAAAGGTTCTATTGACTTATTGTCCATACAAGGAAAGTGAATCATTTTAAAACAGCACCTGATGATAATGCAATTATAAAGCAATTAACGTGAACAAGACTTGCGTTATAATTAAAGAACATTTATTTGCAAAATATAACACCTTAAGATCAATCAAAAGGCGAATCACATTTGTTTTAGTGAGATTTTAAAAGGATTACAAAAATAAATATGTTTGATATCATAATTTCATCAAAATAATAAACATGCCTCCTGTTATGATTAACACGTGATTCCTCTTTCAATTGCCGTGTGCGAGGCAACTTCACTTGACAAAATAATACAAAACTTACCTTCGAACATGTTTCTAAATGACGCTTCAGGCCCTGCTGATTCAAGAGACCCACATGTAGCATTTACTTTGGTGCGTAAAGCGTATTTCTTACCTTTCCCGTTGGATTCGTTATTCTCATGTTGCTGAACGTAAATGGGTGTTAAAGTTTGTAAGACTTTCCTCTCCTCAGCCCTGTGCACACCTGCTGCGGCACAGGCCATGGGAGGGGGAAGGCTCATTAAAACACTCCAGGCTAAAGTTGTACATTGATTTATTGAATGAATGTTTGATGTCCTCATCCACACAAGTGACCCGGCTGATAACCTGCAGAATAAATAGCAGGCCTTTACACAGCGACTACAGCGGGTTTTATGTGCTCCTGAATGTATTGATTAGTCTATATTGTATATTGATAGTCCTGGGCTAATAATGCTGCTTAGTGCTACGATAATCCAATATGGAGCGCGCTGGAGGTAATTGACCCCATGCTGATAAGAGCATGAAAAGGCTTGGAGAACAGAGCGATATGAGTAATGCGACGTGAGAAGCTTGGACATAATAACCCAATAAGTGTCTTTTATAATGTTTTAATTATGTAGAGGCTGCTTCTCAGGCCCGTCCTAAGGGCTGTGCGACCTGTGCCGTCGCACAGGGCCTCGCACCACACAGGGGCCTCGCAATCTTCCTTCCTTTTATTTTATTTTATAAATACACTAGTTCAAGGGTCCCCAAAGGGCAGACTGCACTCCAAATTTGGAACCCTAAACCCCTTTCTCTGGACCTCTTTGATTTCGTTTGATCAAAAGAACATTTTTACAAGTAAAGTCAAATTTTCACCAAAAGCGATTTGTAAACAGGCAGGCGCGCGGGCAGCTATGTATGCAACGGGTCCTCCGAAAAAACTGTCAGATAACTTTAGCAGTGTCTGAGTGAGATACAAAGAAAGTAACGGGAATGATCGCAGTGTAGGAGAGATGGATACTCGCGGAGGAGGAGCAGTGAGACAGGTGTGAGCAGAGGAGCAGACCCCTTTGTGTGAGCAGAGGAGGAGGAGGAGGAGGAGGAGGAGGAGGAGCAGTGATACAGGTGTGAGCAGAGGAGCAGACCCCTTTGTGTGAGCAGAGGAGGAGGAGGAGGATCAGCGGTGTGACAGGTGTGTGAGCGCTGCTATTGCCAATGTTTAGTCCGAATATCCACATCAAAAACATATTTTTAAAAGCATTAGCAAACACACTGTATGTCTAGCTTTAGCTAGCTGGAGTGTTTTTGTTGTGGTCAGAGTGTGTGGAGGAGGAGGTGAAGAGTATTTTGTTGTTGTCAGTGTGGAGGAGGAGGAGTGTATGTTGTCAGAGTGTGTGGAGGCATGGCAAAAACGTTATTTGATGAGAAAATAATAATATTGACTCCGCCTCATAGCCATTTTGGCGCATTTTGCCCAAATCTAACTATTAGAAGAAAAAGACTCCTTTTGGTTCAATCTTTTGAGTTGCTCTGTCATTTTGCCACAGGACGAAAGAGACATGTCAGCTAAAAAGACCGCGACCAATATTGCACGTAGAGTGTGTGTGCGTGTGTACGTGCGCGCGCCAAACGCTGCATAGGAGCGAAGACACTCGGTTACACGCGTGCTGATCTCTTCACGCACCGCGCGAGGTGGTGCTGAATTCATGTCAAAGATTATAACAGGAAAAACTTTCCTCAGATCTGGGAAAAAAGTGTCAGGGCAGGGCCTCGCGTTTCGAGTTCGCACAGGGCCTCGCACCCCCCTTGGGACGGGCCTGCTGCTTCTCATCTCGTCCATGCTCCTTCATTCAGTTACAATTACCAGCTATTACCACTATGGCCACGAGAGGGCGTCAGCCGCAATCTGCTTTCTGTTTGTAAAGTGGGCTACAGGTCACAGCTTCGATCACTGCCACTCACGCCTCCAACAAAGGCCTGGATAAAGACCTATGATTGTATACGCAATTATAATAACGAGGATAATTACGATGATTATAGGCCTATTAGTATCATTAATATTAGTGTTATTCATAATTTTCTATATATTATTATGCTTATTGTTCTTCATTCGTAATATGATTGTTATTATTATTATTATTATTATTAGCCTAAATTGTTACTATTGATTTTATAGGCTAAAACCATATACAACTAATTTTCTCAAATAACCAATGCCAACATTTCTATATCGTAATCAGTATGTTTTTTTGTCTTTTCTTGACGCCTAAATGATTTTGTTTTTGAAGCAGACACGGCTGGATCTTTAACAAAAGCAGTGTAAACAGTATTTTGTTATTGGCGCTTTTTCTTCGTCCCCCATGCTCATAGCACCTTGACAACAATCGCTGGAAATAGAGGCAACGGGCGATCCCATTATCAGCGCGTCATATTTAGGCCTTTTCAATCATTCCAAACACGTATAAACGAACAGCCTCGCTCTGTCGCTCTTTGCATAGTCTCAGAAATGGAAAATGAAGAACGAATGATCTCGTATATGGACACAATATCAAAGACAAAAGCATAATGTTGCAGATGTGGATTCGCTACATTTAATGAAAGACGCGTATGAAAAAGAGCACTCTATTCAGTCCAACTCAATAACTCACAAGACCCATTTTCTAAACTGACGAACAATGAAAAAAGTGTCTTTGCATCGGAATGACGCACGGCCCGATGTCCATCCTTCTGGACTGGGCTGTTATCTGTGCTCATCGCCAGGTGCATCATCTGAGGGCCACAGCAGCCGCCTCACACAATACACAAAAGAGCTATGAAATACACGGCCACATGCGGCCGTATGCGGCTGTATATGCGGCTGTATGCGGCCGTATGCGGCTGTATGCGGCTGTATATGCGGCTGTATGCGGCTGTATGCGGCTGTATATGCGGCTGTATGCCTGCCTTCACAGACAGATGTGACGGAGATAAAGAGTAGATCCATGAGTCTGTGTAAATAATACAAAAATAGTCATAATAATAATACTAACAATTTAATTATTATTGTTGTTGTTAATATTATTATTATTATTATCAATATTATTATTATTATTTTTATTGTTATTATTATTATTATCAAAACGTGTGCAGAGTTGATGGAGTGTCTGTGGTTAGTGGCCTGCGTAAAGCGCACACACACCGCGCTCCAATAGCATCCCTATGGCCATGGGGGACTGACAGAAGTCTACCCATGCGTGCACAAGTGGGAGGATCCACCCGCTCCATTCTCGGGCTGAGACTTTGGCAGCGACAGGGCATAGCAAACTGTCTCGGCACTTCCATAGAGTTTATGACGGGACATCTTTGCTCTCCTGGCTTTGGGATTGTATTCTTTCTCTCATCGTTCCTTTTTTTGTCGGTGAAAGAGCTTCTCCCTCAGACTGCCTCCGCTTTCCCCGCGGCTTGAAGACGAACCTGATCAAACTTCCCCAGTCCCAACAATAACAGGTGACTGTTGAGGTAGCTTTCCCCGTGTGTTGTTTGTTTCTTTGATTCACTGGTGCTGACAAAACAAGGATCGTAGACAGACTCTCTTCTCTGGACATCTGTAGAAGTATTGGTCAGTCTGTCCTTGAGTGCACTGCAGCAGTCACCGCGGAACTATACGCTTTCAACAGGTTTTTGTTAGCGGCTCGTTGTCTCCGTTTCTCCCACAGCAGTGGAGGAAGCCTCTGTTGATTTTGTTTCTGACTTTATTTTATGGACATTGCAACAGGTCTCGTGTCACCGGAGCGCTTCTCCGCGGCAGATCTGTCCGTGACGTGCATCATGCTGGACGGAATTAAAATTGAGGATCATCCGCTGCGATCGGGACAAGCTACACTGGGAGTCATGCTCGGTCAGTCTTTTACAAGATCGACAAATACAGGCCAACACTGTTTAGTTTGTGTTACAGCTTTAAAAAGATACTTTTGCCTTATGCAGTAGCCTCAGGTGCCTGTGCCATTTGTGTGGTCACTACAATTTATTTAAGTTGCATTTGTTCACATCCTTCCGAATTTGAGATATATTCTCTCCTGTAATTATCCTGGCCTAGTACAAGTGCACGGTGTCAGGTGTTGTAACACATGTACGTATGTTTGCAGGCTCAGACTGCCACCACCCGTCCGTGTGTGAAGGATGCCAGCGGCCCATCTCTGACCGCTTCTTGATGCGCGTCAACGACTCTTCGTGGCATGAGGAGTGTTTGCAGTGCACCGTGTGTCAACAGCCGCTCACCACCAGCTGTTACTTCAGAGAAAGGAAACTTTACTGCAAACACGACTACCAACAGTAAGCACAATGCCGCTGCATTTCTGTGCGTGAGTGTTGGTGTGCTGTGTGTGCAGAACGCTGGGTTGACATGTAGGCCTCTTTCTCTCCACACGCTGTTATATTACACACAGGGCATGTGTAAAACGTGCCTTTTCATAGTTGACATTAGATTTACCTGTGGGTTTATATGTGCAAATACATCAGCTATAATTTGAGTAATAATATTTAAAGGCCAAGGACCAATGTCTTTTGACTCATGCTTTGATAGAGCTGTGTTTTGCTGAAATATAATAATTTATACTAAATTATCATGATGTCGTCAGTGAGTTATTGCTTCCAGTAGAGATCCTTACAGCCGTCAGAAATGTAAACGCTCACGGTCTAAAGGCAGAGCAACCAGGGAAGCGCCACCGCCGCGTAAGGCCTTTACAGAGCGGAGTCAGGAGCACATTGTGCCGCTGTCTGTTTCTCCAAATGAACTATTATATTATATTATTTTAGAACTTCACATTAGCACAGCGACGTTCTTTTTTTGTTGTTGCGCAGACTCTTCGTGTGTTGTGCAGTGTGTGGAGGCCGTGGGCACGCTATTCTCTCTCTCCCTTCTCAAACACACACACACACACACACAAAGATAATTAAACGTCAATATTAAAACCCACCAGATTAATCTCTCCATTTGGATTCTTGCAGAAAGTTACTTGTATAATTTTTTTGATAAAAATGCAGTGTTTTATTTCCCAAGAATACCATGGGAATATAGCCGACATTAAAACTGGTTTTGGTGTACGTATTTCCTGATAGTATGGTGCGTTTCTTTCGTTTATTTGTTATTTTTTATTTAGTGCTTTTAAGACAGAATGACCCAACTGATATTATACTTATAAAGCAGTGAATTATGTTAATATTTGTATGGGCTATATATAATGCTTATTTGATACAGTTTCTTTGTAGATAATAACATTTATCATGTTTATTTTTTATGATTAATTGAACAGAGATTGCAAATATAACATGCATGCGTTGGAAATGTTTGGCCCGATGACCCTGGTGGTACCCGCTGCATCTTTTGCTTCATAAATACTTTTTTCATGCCTGTCATTAAATTCGGAGCGTTGGAATTTTGAACAATACTCCTGAGATTACCGATATTACGGTTCTCTGTCAGACACCTTTCAGCCCACAAAGAGTTACATGCACTTCCATGCGTTCCTTTCACTCAGCTTTGTGACAGGAGTGTAGTCCACAGCTAACAATGGAAAATTCACCACAGTAACTATGGGATACGGAGTCACCCGGTCACGCTTCAGAAAAGACTCCCTCATCCTGCCTGCTCCAACACATCCTCCCAAACTTTATTTATTTACTAAACACTTTTCTCATTGGTAGTCATTAATTTCCCACATGTTCTCATATCTTGTCTCCGTGCCAGCTTTTCTCCTCCTGTTTGGCTCGGTATTGTTAATCATACTGCCTTGTTGGACCAGTCAGCCTATCCACTTAACCACTAATTCCATTCTTTAATTCTTCCTCTCCTCCCCTCCGAAGTTAACAGCTAGCTGGAGGGTCTGTCCATTACACCCAAACACACAACTATCCCTTTTTATTTATTTCACTCACATGGAGGAGATACTTAAACATGTAATTGGCACCTTTTTGACTTTTATGACACCCATTTAAGATGCATTTGTCAGCCCACAAACTGCTTAGAGCTGCGAGGAGAGCTTCTCTGCCTTACAGACGTCTGTGAGCCTAATTACATTCCTACAGCAACTGATTCATTCTCTGTAATCAGGGTACGCTATAATAAATCACGGAATTGGCAAGTCGTATTTTCTCACACCTTTGGATAAGGCCTAGTGCAGACAGGGGAAAACAGTTGTGTACAGATATTAAAGATTTCACCAGTGAAGTGCTGCACCTTATGCTGCAGCAATACAAGCTTTTATTAGCATTTATCCATCATTTGTACCTTTTTTCTAGACTGCTGCTCGCTGCTAACCGTTTGAGCCGATCATGACTGCTTCATATGCATAATTAGAATATTTGGACACAGTAATCGAATCTCACAGATCCCTATCAAAGCTGTGTTTAAATGTATTGCAGATGTTACACAAGGAATTTACATATTTTTTAAATAATATGATGATGCAATATTTTTTTATGATTTACAAATAAATGTAATTGCAATATGTATTTTTAGTTCTATTCAAAGTTTCAGTTTTAAATTGAAGAACAGAATAAACATTTATTCCATACAGAATGACATGACAAGATGGGACAAAAACACATTTTTGTTTTTGTCACAGTGTCATCAAAAAATTAAAATTGGAAAAAATAAAAATATACATTATTAAAGAAAAATTTAAATTTATTTTTTTAATTTTAAAACTCCTTATATAAAGGCACATTATTATGATATAACAAATGTAATTATAGTGTTGTTGCACAATCTCAGCTAACTTAATTTCTATTATATAAATAGATAAATACATTAATAATCAACACCCACTTTGATACCAAAGTGATTATTTTAAAGTTCTCTTTTTGTGAGTAATTTTTTAACACACAATACATATCATAATTTATATAATATAATAATAGTATTTTTCATAGTGCCTCTGTATCGCTCTCGTAGTCTGAAATGATTCTGACCAAGGAATCTCGGGAAAAGTCCTTCTTATTTACCAACGAATATCTGATTTTCAACTTTTGACAAGATTTCATAATGGGCTTTGACTTTGTTGTATGATCTAAATGCGTTGAGGTGGAGAGCGTGTATTTGTAACTGCCCAGTGATCTGTATCTGCTCTGACGACACATGCTTGAGCGGACAGGCGGTGTTCACCAAGAGTGGGATTACAGCAGCACCTCCACAGCATGCCCTGCCCCGGTGTTTGGGGTCAATTATAGCTCATTAGAAACTGGGCGATTCTGTCCCCCAGAGGGATCCTCGCTGACCTCACAGACGCCTTGAAAGGACCATAAAACAGCACTATCACTTGACCAGAGAGTGTTCGCCAACGCTCCTGTAATCAACGGCCTTGTTAGAAACCCGGCCTCCTGGTCCCTGTAACAGCATATTTCACTGTATTTTAGGCTCTGTTTCTTTGCTGTCTGTGAAGTTTTAATAAGCGGAGTAGACACTGTTTCCACATATTGTAAATGTGCTTTTTGTTGTGCCACTCCCAAGCTGGACCAAAATTATACATTATGAATTTATATTTCTGAAGTTTGTATGTTAATTACTTAATTGAAGGCGAAGTATTTATATATGCTGGTATAGGTCAGAAAGGGTGTGCTTGTCACAAAGTATACTATATTCATTGTTACTGTTAACTTATGACTCTTTGTAAAATAATTAAAAACACATTTTGTGGTTAAATGTTTTTTGTCTGTATATTTTCTTGACATTTTTTTTGTAACACGATCAAGTTTTAGCTGTGGAGGCTCGAATAAGTCACTTTTTGGCCTTTTTTCAAAATTATAATTGGGATAATGCTGCAATATTGTAATTGTTTATTGCTTTCTCAATATTATTGCTTGTGATAAACAATAATAAGGAAACTACTAGTTTTTCTGAAGTGATATTTTCCATCAAAATGTGTTATTGTGACAGCCCTTGGTAAATGCTTGTAGGTGGGTGCTATCAAAGATTGATAAACACATAATTTGCATTGACGTGCGTTAATATGATTTGTTTGTATTCTTTTATCGATCTAACATTTGCTCTGGAACGTGTTAGAGTCAATTCCGGTTGAAAACAAATCAAAATCAAATTAACAAAACAAATTTTACTGACGAGCACCAAAAGAAAGCATGAACTACACATCATTGGCCATTTTTGACTCGTAAGCAGGACTCTATTGCGGTCACAGTAGTATGAGTAGTAGAAACACACCAAAGCAACCATAAAAATACAACTCCCAGAATGCCTTTCACTGCTTGTGCTTGCTGGACATCCCCCTGTGTGCTGAGCGCTGCTTTTCAAAGCAGTTTGCTGGGCCCTCCTGTGAAATTGTTGTTTTTTAATTACCCGTGTTTGGGACGCACTGTGCGAGATCCTAGATGCTGACGGCTTGGTTTCTGCGCGGGATAACCAGTGTGTGTGTTTTACTCACTATAGTAGCACACTCCCCAGCGGCCTATAGTGCTTTGTGAATGCGCTCGCAAATCAAAACAGGAAAAACATTGTATGCAGTCAGTGCTTAAGTGCAGTTTTTGGTTAATTAAAGTCTTGGAAAAAACATGCTTGGACTTACTGTGCTGTATCTATGCTGTTGTTTTCTTCTTAAAAGGTGACACATTTATATATTTTTTACCACTTTTCTTGCATAAATTAGAGAGATCTCAATAGGGAGACAAATCTAATGCTAGAAACCTTAAGCTGGATAATATTGCTTCAGCTTGCTGGGATTTGGAGTGCTGGAGGAGCGAGCTGAAGCTGGCCCACTCTTCGGTAAGGAAGTATTGGGTTCTATGTCAACATGGCCCGGCCTGTCCCAAAAGCACACGCCGATGCATCATCTGTCATCTCCAGCACAGCTAACTCTCACCAATGTGTTTAGCACCACTGGAAGACATATTTGTGTATGTAGCTGTACCACATGATTCCTCCCCTCTTATTTTTTATAAATAATACCCTCCTCCAAAATGTATATGATGAAAATCTTATATCAAGCTAGCTCTGATACTGCTACATTGCCAGGTGTCTTTCGCTGATTATTTTTAATAGAAGCTGAAATATGAAATCAGGTGATCTGGCACGGGTTGACTTTAGTGAAGGCATTTCCGCTGTGTGTTTGATTAGGCGTGCGTGGGTGCTGAGTGTGTTGGGTGGGCCTAATCGCACACTCGCAAGGATGTGTGGAGCAGCAGCTGGACGACAAAGCACTTTGCCGGGCGCTCAGGGGAGCCACAGAGGCGCAGGCGTGGTAATGCCCCTCTCTGCTTTAGGGGCAGAGTGTGGAGTTTAAGGAGGGGCGACAAGGATCTGCCTGGTGTGCTCACATTACACA